TCGGTGTAGAGGTGATAGTTGAAGCCGTGGGAGTATATCAGGTTGCCGAGGGAGGAGGTGTAGATGGAGAAGAGAAGGGGCCTGAGGACAGTGAGGGGGAGGTGGCAGCGTTATAGGTAACACTGAAGGAGCGTTGGGATAGATAGGAGAGCCAGGAGAGAGCGGAGTCTCTGATATGAGGGAGTGTAGTTTATTGAGGGGGTGGTCAACTGTGTCAAAGGCTGCGGAGAGGTCAAGGAGCAAGAGGACTGAGTAGTTGCCATTAGCTTTGGCGGTTAGCAGGTCATTAGTGATTTTGAGTAGGACAGTTTCGGTGGAGTGTAGGGGATGGAAGCCAGACTGTAGTGGATCGAGGAGGTTGTTGTCAGTGAGGTGGGCGCTTTGGCAATTGTAGACTAAGCGCTCAAGGAGCTTGGAAGTAAATGGCAGCAGGGAGATGGGTCTAAGGTTGTTCAGGTCAGTGGGGTCCATGGAGGGTTTGAGTATGGGGGTGATGTGCGCATGCTTTAGGGGGGAGGGGAATGCGCCAGTAGAGAGGGAGAGATTGAAGATGTGGGTGAGGGAGTGTAGGATGGAGGAGGAGGGTGACCGGAGGAGTTGCGTGGGGACAGGATCAAGGGGGCAAGTGGTGAGGCGGGCTTCTGAGAAGACCTTAGTGACCTCCTCAGTGGTAGCAAGGCTGAAGGAGCGGAGTGTTTGGGAGGTTATAGTGTGCGGGATGTTAGATGTCGTGGGGGGTAGGGCGGTTGCGAGGTCAGAGGAGGGGAGAGTTGATGGGGTTATAGTGGGAGGGAGGCTAGGTGGGGAGGTAGGTTGAGCATTGGCGATGTCCTTACGGATTGAGGCTCGGTTTTACGTTCGGCCCTGTATTTAGTTCCGGGTCCGAAATGGCCATTATCTTCTTTGTCATAATGAGGCCAGGATTTGACATTGGGTAGAGATGTGAAGTGGAGGCTTGGGTGCAGGGTGGATAAAAATCAATATTTTTTTTTTTTTTTTTTTTAAATCGGATTTCTTTGATTTTAAATCGGATTTTTTTTGATTTAAATGCTTTTTTTAGGAAAATATATTACCATACAAAGGTTATTCCATCATGAAATAAAGATTAGTTTTTTATTTATGTAGAATAAGGCTGTACATGTTTAATTTTTTTGGTAAATAAATTCCATTAATCCATTCACAATGTCATGCTCTTCCAGAGGTTTTTGTAAGATTATTGGGCAGTTTCTCTGCCTACAAGATATCACAGATGCTCGGTTTACTTTTGCAGTTCTCAAAACTGAATTTGACTCACCGGAGATCACATGCCTCTTCTTCACAGCAAAAATGTTATAACATGAACAGAGTTAAGAAAAAGACCTTAATCCTAACTTCTACAAACCTATGAATACAGAATCAACCCCTTCAGTGCTAAGTTTAAAGAAGTTCAGTGAATAGAAACAATATTTTTCTGATTGTTTGGAGTGGAATAGATCTGCACAAGAAGAAAGTGAAACTAAGTGTGAGGAGGAAGGGGCTGACAGTCTAAGTTTCTTAAAATATATATATTTTGTTTAGCCAAATTAGTTAACAAACATGGATGTTTGTTTAAGCAAATCACATATGCTGTAATGTTATTGTTTCAGTTGAATAAATCTATTTAAATTGTTATTATTAAGGTAATGATGATTTTTTTCTCCTTCCTAAGTACAACAGAAAAGTTGTCCAAATATGAATGATTAACCTATTAAACTGGGGATAAAAAAACTAATATGAAAAGTTGTTGTTCTAAAAATCTTCATCTACTTGCATATTAAAGTTATACCAGCAAGAATTAGTCTTTATGTAGAAAACTAGGATTTAAATCAAGCCTTACTGACTAGTGATTTAAATTGTGATTTAAATCCGTTTGATTTAAATCAAATCCACCCTGCTTGGGTGATCATGAGCAAGGCTCGCGACTATCCTGTCATATTTCATTTCCGGTCACGGAGTTATTCCCAGTTGTTTAATCCAAACTGAGGCATGATTATCTCAAATCGAGGCTTGGTTATGGTTTATATATACGCGATGGCTGCCTCCTAGCCCGGAAGATGTCTGGTTATGACAAAACACATCGGGTGGAGCCTCCCTTTGTGACGTCATTGTGTAAGTTGTTTGATTATCTTTTGCTGTTTTGATTTCTACCTATGCTTGAGATTTTAAACTGTAAATACGATTTTTTTTTTTTTTTTTTTTTTTTTTTTTTTTTTTAAATCTGGTTTGCAAACTGTACGCTGTGAAAGGCATTCATTTTTGCATGCTTATAGACTAATCCCAAGTGATCGGGACATTTAATGGAAGGCCTACATGGTTCAGTTTATGGCAAGGCAGCATCCATGGATGGTTTCCAATAAAGCGCATGCTGACCTCCTATAATTAAGGGGTCAAAAGGTAAGCCTCCAGTATTTTGTCAGTGTTGACGTCTGGGATCCTTCACATAAGGAAAAGGAGGCTTTTTCACATTTTCATTTGGACTGTCACATATATCATTGATATTTTACATGTTGACCATTATTTTGCATTGTATTCTTTGGTTATTGGGCTATTTTAGAGCATTATCGTATAATTGTACATTAATAAATTTAAATATTTATTTGAGATCACTTAGTGCAGCGTTTTTCAACCACTGTGCCGCGGCACACTAGTGTGCCGTGAGATATTGTCTGGTGTGCCGTGGGAAAAATTGCAATTTCATCAGTAACATGTGGCCTCGGCTCACAAATAGACCAATCATTAGAACAGCAATGGGCAAACTACGGCCCGGCGGACATTTTAATCCGGCCCGCGGAGCGTGATACTGTCAGGATGATCTGTCCCCCTCGACGTATCTGCGCATGTGCCGGAGATCGCCGATCGGCTGCTAATGCCTGAAACTGGCACATGCGCAGATACGTCGAGGGGGACAGATCCTCATAGGAGACAGATTTTCATGCTACACCGGAACGGCGAGAGGAACGCGCGGAGCAAAGGTAAGTGAATTGACACAGGGGGGGGGGCTTGGGGACTTAATATGGGGGATGAATTACTATGGGGGATGAATTACTGTGGGGGATGAATTACTATATGGGGGATGAATTACTATATGGGGGATGAATTACTATAGGGGGGATGAATTACTATAGGGGGGATGAATTACTATGGGGGATGAATTACTATATGGGGGATGAATTACTATGGTTGATGAATTACTATATGGGGGATGAATTACTATGGGGGATGAATTACTATATGGGGGATGAATTACTATATGGGGGATGAATTACTATAGGGGGGATGAATTACTATATGGGGGATGAATTACTATATGGGGGGTGAATTACTATGGGGGATGAATTACTATATGGGGGATGAATTACTATATGGGGGATTAATTACTATGGGGGATGAATTACTATGGGGGATGAATTACTATGGGGGATGAATTACTATGGGGGATGAATTACTATATGGGGGATGAATTACTATATGGGGGATGAATTACTATATGGGGGATGAATTACAATGGGGGATTTATTACTATATGGGGGATTAATTACTATGGGGGATTAATTACTATGGGGGATGAATTACTATATGGGGGATGAATTACTATATGGGGGATGAATTACTATATGGGGGATGAATTACTATGGGGGATGAATTACTATATGGGGGATGAATTACTATGGGGGATGAATTACTATATGGGGGATTAATTAGTATGCTTACTATGGGGGAATATTACTATACTTACTATGGATGACACATACACATCATTCATCTACTCTTGGTCCTGCCCCCGGGTCCAATATATGAACCCATTGCGGCCCTCAAGTCAAAAAGTTTTTCAATAAATTTTTTTAACATTTTCTAATGGTGGTGTGCCTCGTGATTTTTTTCATGAAAAAAGTGTGCCTTTGCACAAAAAAGGTTGAAAAACACTGACTTAGTGCAACACCAGTTATTTTTTTTTCACTTTTGATATTGAGAGGATATCCCCTTGGTGTTTTCTGCTTTACTTTTATGATTTAGCACTTGCGCGGTTTGATTGTTATTACGTGCGCATGTAGCTTGGCACTCACCAATACATGCTTACAAACCAGGATAAGCCCAAATATTTGAAATGGGAAATGGCAGTAAAGAGGCTGTGGGGAGATGTGCAGCTAATAGGGACCTGTAGCCAAACACCACTTCACATTAGATGGGCCATTTGGTCTTGGTTGGGAAGTAGCAGCAAAGTAACAGGTGATCTGCAGCGCTTGGTTAGAACAGACCTTGGGGTGATTTCATACAAAGAGTTTCAGTAAAACCTGAGCTCTCCTCCAATCCAGCGTTTTTTTTTTTTTCTCCCCCCCCCCCTCTACGGCCTCTGCTATGTGGGGACTCTTCCTCCTCATTTTCTGAGATGGCAGCAGGAGCCCATTGGCTCCCGCTGCTGTCATTCACTGCTAGCGAGACAGTCGCAACTGTGTCTTATGGACGCAGAGCGCAGCGTCTCTCGGATGACACGCAACTGTGCCCCCACGGTAAGCGGCTTTCCTGGGGGGGGTACAGCTCGTGGGGGGGAGCCAGGAACAAGTTAGACATGTTTTGTGTGTGGTGTGTTTTTTGTTTTAATAATAAAGCTTTAGTATCACATAAATGCCATGGCACATATGGTAAGGCAGAGGCACAGACTTTTATTGGGACAGCCTTGCCAATAGATATTTGGAACATAAAGGAAGCTGACTTGATTCACCCCAGCACAGAATGGCTTGCAAGAAGCTGAAAACCCTGCATACTTTGGCAGCAAGGGATCAACTAAAAGTATATTAAATTGATTTCAAAGGGGTGTTATAAATGTTACAAGTAGTTGTTTTACACTCTCTTCCTTTTTCGTAAGAGGTGTCATAATTTGTTTTCTCTCTACATTTTAGAACCAAGATTTTGGCGTGCAGTAGGCACAAACTGAAGCAACATGGGCTCGCTGTGACAATACGCCTTGTGGGCCGGCAGCTAGGATGACTTCCTGGAGAGCTGGCCTCCACAGGGATCCACTGAAACTCTACTTACCTTGTCAGCACATCAAGCGGTAAGCCAAGTCACTGGTTTTGAAGGATGTGTGTTTTTTCAAATGGTAAATTGGTATCTTGTGCATTAGAAGGGGGACACAATGCTTGGGGGAGATTTACTAAAACTGCTACAGCCATTCATAATAACCAATAGGCTTCTGAATTCAGCTTGCTCATTGACTGGAACACCTACTAGCTGGTTACTAGGCACAGATGCGCAAGGTCTCTGCTCATTTTATAGTGAATATGACTAAGCATTTGGTCAAACATCACTAAAGTAAACCAATCAGATTTTTCTCTTTAAATAGAAAATTACATGACTGATTTGCCTCATCTTTTGGTCCCTAGTGCAGCCTGCCATGTTGTTATATAGTTGGCTTCCCTCTTCTTGGTGATCATTACTGTACAGCCCTGCCCAGTGCGCCTCAACTTCTCCAGTAAAATTTTCCCTGCCAGCTTTTTTTTTTTTTTTTTTTAAAGTGTGCTGCATCCCTGTTCATCTCTATGCTTTCCTATAGGTGAGTAGTGTTCCAGCTGTCCAGTGGAGTATGGCTCACCCATAGGAATAAATGGGACCGCAGTGACTGTAAAGCTGTCCTCCAAAGCCATTTTTAAAGCCATATTATACCCAAAACCAACAATGTAGCTATCGGATGTAGTGGCTGCACTGGTTTTTCTCTTTTTAGGGTTTTTTTTCCCTCTGTTTTCACCTGGTGATCTGGCCAGTAACAAGTCTCCTGTATTAGGGTGCTCCCTCTCTGGATAAAGGAGCAACAGACAACTCTGAACAGTAGCATTGTCAAGTGTGTGGGGAGGGAAGTGTTGGCCTGAGCTTGGCTTCAATTTAAGTGTATTTAAATCTGGCAGTTCATCGAACAGTTTACATAGTTACCGCAAACCGTTTTATTGCTTTTAGGATAAAGGTTTTACTTAACCACTTGCCACCCGGCCTATAGTCAAATGACAGCTGGGCAAACACCTCGTCCTTCCGGGAGGGTGTCATATGACGTCCTTCCTGGATCGTCTTTTGCGTGTGCCCGCAGGGCTGCGCTGTGGTGTGATCTGTCACCGGCCGTGTACCTCGAACACATCTGTGTACCGGCCCCGTTGCCAGTACCATGTGATCTGCTGTGACAATCACCGCAGGTCACATGGCAGTTCTATACAATGGATGGCTTCCTTTCGTGCCATCCACTGTATACAAGTGTGTCTAGCTGTGAATGGTCACAGCGATCACATGCACAGGTTGGGCCAATCACGGCCCACCGTGTCATGTGATTAGCCGTGGCCAATCACAACAAAAAAAAAACCTGAATGAATCGATTTTCATTCAGTTAAATGCTTGCTTATAGCAAAGAAATTATTTGTTATAAACAACCAAATTGTGTTTAAAAAAAAAAAAAAAAAAAAAAAAAAAACTGATACTGATCACTTCCCCAAAGTATTACAATGTTACTATGGTTTACATTATACTACTTTGGTCATAGGGCAATATGGAAAAAAAAAAAAATCTTTACGAAAAAAAACAAAATTGATACATTTTTCAAAAAAATTTTTTTCTCTTTCTCTCCCCCCAGTCAGTGTCCCTGATCACCGCCACACCAGTTATGATGACGCTGTACTGCACTGGTGACAGTATGTTTAAAAAAAAAAAAAAAAAATTATGAAGCTGTATTTTTTTTTTTTGTCATAATTTTTCGGAAAATGAAGAAATTGCTTAATTTTCCCAAAAATTATGACAAAAAAAAATTACAACTTCAAAAAACTCGCCATGCCTCTTTTATGAAATACGTCGAACTGTCTACTTTGCAAAAAGGGGTAATTTGGGGGATATCTGTACTGTTCTGACATTTTTGGGCCTCAAGAAATTAGATTGGCTGTCAGTACTTCAGGATTGATCAATTTTCAGATATATCCCATAGTTTGTGAACTCTATAACTTTCCTACAGACTAAATACTGGTTTGGGTTCTTTTCACCAAAGAAATGTAGCAGAATACATCTTTTCCTAAATTTATGAAGAACAATTATTTATTTGCAAACTTTTATAACGGAAACACAAACTTATTTTTTCTTTCAAAATTTGTTTTTTTTGTTTTTTTTTTGTTTAGCAAAAAATAAAAACCCCAGTGGTGATTAAATGCCACCAAAAGAAAGCTCTAGTTGTGTGAACAAAATGATAAAATTTTAGTTTGAATGACAATTGCACAGTCATGCAACACTGTATCCAAAGTGCAACAGTGCTGAAACCTGAAAATTGGCCTGGGCAGGAAGGGGGTAAAAGTGCCTGGTATTGAAGTGGTTAAATGAAGAAAATCTGTCCATTGTAAGCACCCCTGCCAGTGTTAAATGGTTTGTCTCAGCCCTTTTAACTGCTAGCTCTGCAGGACAGCTTATTCTGTTGAAAAAAAGACTTGCTGTCTGGATAACCAGGTGAAAAAAAAATGCCTAAAAAAAAAAAAAAAAAAAAAAAAAAAAAAAAAAAAAAAAAAAAAAAAAAAAAATAATCACATCTAAGAATTGGTAAGCTGAACTGTAAGTTCAGGGGTGTGGAAACTTTTGAAATAACTGCTTGTCCTGGGACTAAATCAGTGCCCCCATTTACTTGTCCCTCATGACAATCTACTTGTTCTGATAAAAAAAAATAAATAAAATTTAACCAAAACTGTATTTACATCTGAGGTGCTTTTAACCACTAGGGAACCCCCCCCACAGTACATATACTGCTACAAGGTGGCCCCTGTGTGCAGGATCACGTATATAAACGTGATCCTGCATTTCGGGGTAGGGAATGCCCGCCCTAACCAAAGCACAGATCGTGACCGCGGGTGTCAATCACCGGGTCCCGGCCGATGATTACCTACCGGAGCCCGGCAAACACTGACGGGGAGGAAGGCTGCATTGTTTTCAGTGGAGCTCTCCTCCCTGTCAGTTTTCAGCACACTGTTCCGGATTGCTGAGCAGAACCTTCTGGATCAATGTATTACAGGGAAGAATACACACCCCCACCCCCCTAGTGAAACACTCCGCTCATACAGTTACTATTTGAAGGCAGTCAAAGGGTTAACTTCTTCCTCCTCAGTGCCATTAGTATAGTCAGTGGGGTTTTTTTTTTTTTTTTTTTACACTGTTCACTGTATTGGTGTCACTGGGGATGTCGGTGACCCCCCAGTGTCAGAATGTCCACCGCAGTGCTGAAACAAGTCGCTGATTGCCGGTATTAAAAAAAAAAAAAAAAATATCCCAGTATATATCACGCTATAACTTTCATGTAAACCAATTAATTTACACGTATTGGGATATATATATATTTTTTCTATAGCAAAGACATGTCACAGAATACATTTTGGACTAAATTTATGATGAAATTAGATTTTTAGTTTTTTTATTGGACATGTTTTATAGCGAAAAGTCAGAAATATTTTGTGTTCTTCTTCCTTCCTTCTTCTCTTTTTTTTTCTTCCTTTCTTCTTCCTTCTTCCTCCTTCCTCCTTTTTTTTTTTTTTTTTTTTTTTTTTTTAACATAACGCAAAAAAATACCACCAAAAGAGATCAATTCGTGAGGGGGGAAAAAAGGACATAAATTTCATTTTGGGGCAGTGTTGCATGATTGCGCAATTGTCAGTTAAAGTAACGCAGCGCCACAAACCGCTTCTGTAACCTCTTCCTACAGGGTGGCATGGGTGCGCAAAATCGGTTTTCACGCTCCTCCGAGATAGTGTCAAATTGCCTGTCAGTGACCACATTTAACCCCTTGATTGCCAGGAACACGCCTACGCAAAAAACCTCCATTGCTAGTATAGTGTCTGAACGGATCAATATCTTTGATCAGATCATCACTATACCAGCGTTCACATTAGTATAGTGTTTCCAAAAATGCAGCGTTAGGGGGATCAGCCCCGACACCTGCGTTTAGCCCCTACAATTACAACCCCCCCATCTCCCCCCAGCAAGTGCAGTGTCTGTAGGTCACTGTCACTTGATGCATTGCACACAACCGCAGTGTTCGCAGAATCAGGCCTGATCTCTGTTAGCACTTGCCGGTAAATTTTGATGACTCTAATATGCAGCAGAGTGCCAGTACTAGTGCTACGCTACCTTTTGGTGAACTGGAAAGCACCAGTGGCCTAGTACATCCTGGTCTTTCACATATCAGCACTGCAGTATGACTTGGTGACGTGGGGAGTCCCTTAAGTCCAGTACAAGCTGGTGCGGTGGCGAGCACAAGTGTTTGTCCCACAACCACCAAGAATTCGCGTACAGGCCCGTAGAGCACCTAGTATCCTTCCAGATGTGGTTGCAAATCCCGATTGGCAGCCCACAAATTCTGCAGCACTCATACTTCCCCCCCCCCCCCCCCCCCCCCCCCCCCCCCCCCCCCCCCCCCCCATTCACTGCCCCCCCCCCCAGAACTCAGTTGGAATTAGCAAATTTAACTACTCCCCTTGGTTTTTTTTTTTTTTTTTTTGGTTTTTTTTTGGAGCCGTTTTTCACGGAAGATCTGTATGCCTTGATTGTGAATCAAAGCTATTTATATGGACAACAATTTATCACCGCCAAGCCAAATTCAAACCTTGCCAGACCATTCGCATGGAAACCCATTACAGTTTCCGAATGTAAAAATGTTTTGGGCCTAACCCTCAACATGGGCATTACTAAAAATAATTGCGGTTGTATTGGTCCACAGACCCAATTCCTCATATGCCCCTGTTCTATGCTGCCATGGCCAGGCATAGATATGAGCGTATGATGTGTTTCATGCATTTCAACAACAATACACTGTTGTCCTTCAGGTGACCCTGAATTTAACTGGCTCCACAAAATTCAGCCCCTCGTAAATCACCTTACCCCAAAATGTGCAGATGTCTATTCTCCCCAGCAAAAAATCTGCGTTGAGTCCCTCATTAATTTTTCTGGCCGCCTTGCATTCAAACAATTTCTCCCCAGCAAGTATGGCAGATATGGGGTCAAGATATACAGGTGAAACTCGAAAAATTAGAATATCGTGCAAAAGTTCATTTA